GGTGTCCGGGCGGGAAGGGCCGTTCGTCCCGGATGGAGCGGGGTAGAGACGCGCCGGCATCTCCCAGTCTTCTATACTCATGTCCGTGGCCGCTTTATCCTTTTGATATTTTTAAAAACATTGCGTTAGTCAATTTAATCCCGCAAACTCGATTTATACAACAGAGCACAGTAACTAATTGAAAGCATCTTGTCCTAAACACTATATTACACTTCGTCCCCCTACAGCTCTAAAATTTTTGGGAGGGCCTCAAGTTGCGCCAGGGGAGGTTTAGACTAGATATTAGGAAAAATGTCTTTACTGAGAGAGTGGTCAAGCATTGGAACAGGCTGCCCAGGGAGGGGGTGGAGTCACCATCACTGGAAGGATTCCAGACGTGGCACTTGGGGACATGGTTTAGTGGGGTTGATGGTTGGACTTGATGATCTTAAAGGTTTTTTCCAACCTTAATGATTCTGTAAATAGAATAGGGTCTAGAATGGCTAGCCATTTGAACCTGGTGAAATTTCTCTTCCCGCTTCCCCCTCCCCCCAGCGCTCTGGCAACGTCTGTTGAGACTTGGCTATTCTTTAAGCGGCGCTTTTCCATTAGCTCAAATTAGGGGCCTGGAAATACTAGCATGTGCTGGGAAGGTGGCTGTAGAAGGGTGCATGCCTACCGGCAGTGCTTCCTGTTAGCCTGCACAAACAGGGTAACTGTTACAAATTGACAGACGATTGAAAGGATGTTTTAAAAACTTAAAGGTACCTCACTTTTTCTTCGTGGATACGTGAGTGTCAATTGTTTGTTCAGGCTATGGAAGTTGAGCAATAAAATTCAAGGGGGGGGGAAAATAGCATTCTTTGGCTGTTATCTGTACAAATGAATTTTTAAAGAGTAAGGTGCAAAATTGTTCTGCCTGGACTTCTAATGTGTTTTACAAGTATTCTCACATGGACTTAACAAAAATAGATCTTGAAAGAAGTACCTGTTTCACAAAGTCAAAAAAAGTTCAGCTGCTTTTAGGATTTTTCATTCATGTATGCAGAGGTTATGTATAACTACAGTGTGGTATTTTTAACATATTTTTTTCTAGTGTGGCTTGTGTGTAATTTCTTTTGTTCATTTTTTTTATATGGAATGGAAGGCATGATAGAATGCCTGCTACTAAGTTGATTGAGAACTTATAATACTAATGCTGGTAATTTATAATAACAACTTTTTATTCTGAATTGTTTAGAACTAAACAATAAGCAGATTGATACATAGTGTCTCTTAAAAAGGAAATTCAAGATATGTATTCTATAACAAGCTAAAAATAGGAATCAGATAATTGTTTGCTTTAAATATCTGAAAATCATTACCAGTAAATGTAATTGCTTAAAACTAGCAAATGCTTGAAAACTGAGCAAGTCCAGAATGATTCAGACTGCAATTGTTTATCTGTAAGTTTACAGACTTGATTATTTCTTCTCTTAGTGATGTGTTTGGCCTTGTTATGTTTTCCCATTTATAAGGAAAAGCTTTGTAGCAAAACCTCGGGTCAAACCCCCATTTTTAGTTGTAGTGAGAATCGGACCTGTAAGTGAACAGAGCCTGATCTGTGCTGTTTTCATAGGCTTCTGAAGCAGTAGGTTGTTGGGTTTTTGATCCTACCCAGAACACTTGAGTTTTGTTCTGCAAGTGTATATAAAAAGTTCTAAAAGCAGGCATCTCTCTCTGTTTTTTCCCTTTAGTACGATGTATAGTTTGCCTTTTTTTTTCTTCACAAAATAGATGTACTATCTTTTTTTTTATTCTGCAACAGGTTTTATCTGCACACCTGAGAATAAAAGGTAATGGAGACTGAACAACAGGAGGAGACCTTTACCAACACAGAGACAAATGGTAAATTTTTTAAAGGGTTATTTTATTTTATTTGGGGGGGAAAGAACCTTTTTAAGTCTCATTGTTTCTAGCTGTTTTGGAATGCTTTAACTGTATCAAATGTTTGTATTGGCAGTATTTTTGCATTTAATCTTTTAATTTTTAAGTGTCCCGTATGTTTTTACATGGTTTTTATATCATGAATATGTAACTTTTCTTTGGGAGTATTTTAGACATGGCATAAGTAACTAAAAGTTATAACTAAGGATTTGAAAATATTTGATAGCTAAATATTCAGTACTTGTCTGGTCAGTGTGATCATGTACAAATACTGTCAGGCATATCTATTACTGTATTTTATTTATTGAGGTTGTTACTTTGAAGGAGTTTATATGTGAAATATCTCTAAATATTAGTTAAATGAAAAACTTTTTTGACATAATTTGTGAAGGAGAGTTAGGGCATTAGCATTGAGTTGATTCATGCCAGTTTTTCAAAGCTATTTGAAATACTGCTTTCCTATTGTTCCACCAGTATTTCAGTATTGGACAAACTACTTTTGATCTTTAGGGCTTTAAGGTTTTCCCAATTGTAAAAGAAATACTAGGTAGGTGATTCAGCACTGCTTTAAACAACATGTTGTAAATTTTTCACTAAGTTTGCAAAATTCTCATTTCAACTGTAGTTCATAGATTTGGAATGAGTCTTCAATAATTAATTGATGTGTAGGCTGATGATGTAAAAACCTGTTTCTGTGCTGTAGATACTTGGGGTAGATGTCAGAAGTTAGCGTCCGGCTAATAGGAGGGAATGCTTCATTAGGAATACAGTGCATAAGCTTGATATACAATTTTATCACGACTTAGAAAGTTAAATATATGTTTGTGTTTTCCCCCCCCATGGACCTGTCTACAGGCAAACGTCCTGCAGAAGATATGGAGGAAGAACAGGCCTTCAAAAGATCTCGGAATACAGATGAGATGGTTGAATTGCGCATCTTGCTTCAAAGCAAAGTATGCTTTTTCAGCATTGCTATGTTCCTGCTTATACCATTGCTTAAGACAGTGGTGACAAAGTGTATGTTGTGGTGTATGTTTAGAAAGAATGTGTGCTTTATTTAAAATAAAATAACTTATTAGGAATATTTGTAAGCATGCATGAATGATAGAAGTGTATTGCAATGGTATTATCTTCAATACATTTTTTCAAGGATGAGCCCTTAATAATCTATGGGACTTATCTGATTTTAAAAAAAAAAAAGTACTTATTGAAAAAATAAAGCAATAGAAATTATAAGCCACTTTTCTTATGTTTGAGTGAAACGTAATTGTTTCCAGGGGGATGACTGTGCATTAGTTTTTAGAAAGCAAACAGTTTAGAGAATGATCAGCTTATGACTGTAAATTAAATATGCGAGGCAAGATGAAGACTTCCTCAGGATTTTAGTAATTTTCCCAGATTTAGTAAGTCTGTATGTATCAACGGGGGAAATATGGGAGTAATGTTTCAGGGATTGCAGTCGCTTCATTGACTAGCATAAATTGTCATAGTAAAAATTGCTATTTATTAATCTCCTTTAGTGTTTCCAGTCATTACAGATGTTTGTGCTGTCTGAAGTAACTCAGTCTTTTTATGTCAGGGCAGGGGAATGTTACCTTAACCCTGTGTGGCACTTCTGATGAATAGTCAAGTTACGTGGAGTGCTGCAATATGTTTGTGGTGCTGTTAGCATCATGTATGAACTGCATAATAAAAGCAATAATTTTGCATATAGTTCTTGAAATAGCCTGGTAAAAATGTAGTTTTACAGTTGCCCCTCTTGAATATCTGAGTTTATTCCTGTTGATTTTTAGCAACTGGAGATTAGCAATTGTTTATATTGGCTTTACATTCTTCAGACTGTACCTACCTGAGGGGTCAGTTGAGTTACATAGGCTTAAACCAAAAGTAGCATTTGAAATTATCAAATGTTTGGAGTGCAAAAGTAAAATTTGTAAACATATTTAAAAAAAAAAAGTGTGATCAAATAAATTAGGAAAATCCTTGACCTACATAAAATGCATGGAATCCCATAAGGTATTTTTTCAGTCATACTCTTAACTATGAGATGGTTTTATCACAGGCAGAATTGCCTGTAAACTTACATTTGAGATTGAAATAATATTATTGAGTATTTTTATCTCTTTACAAAGTTCAGTGGTAAGACACACCCCCCCACACCCACCCCCTGTAAAACCATGTCAGTTTATGTTTCAATTTAATTTGAATCTTTCAAAAGCAAAACAAGCCCCACCCCTAAATGCATCCCACAAGGTAATGCAGAAATAGATACATTGTTCTTAGTCTTCAGTTCAAAAAATGTAGTCTGTGCTGTATTAGCATAACTTCTGAAAACTATTTTCCAGAATGCTGGAGCAGTGATTGGAAAAGGTGGCAAAAATATTAAGGCACTTCGTACAGATGTGAGTATATATGAGTTTGAATATTAATTAACACCAATTCTTTCAGAGCACTACATTGAAAACTTGATTGCATACGTTTCTAGAAATTGAGAAAGTAAAATCTAGACAATAATCTAATTATAAGCCATTTATAATGATTGTTAGAGATAACTTTAGTTTTTCAGTTTGTGTTGTAATTAAAACCCAGCTTGAGTTATGCAGGAGGAGAGGTTTATATTAAACCTCTTTGCTTTCAAACAGGGTTCCTCTAAATTACATACTTCAAATGAATTAACATCTTTAATTAGAAATATTGGCAAAGCTTAAAACCCTTAACTACTGTTTCTCATATGTGTGAATCGGTTATAGTACTATTGAAGACTATTGCAGGTGGCTGGCTTAACCCAGTGATAGAGAAATTCTTTAACTTCCTTTTAAAAAAAAAAAAAAACACCCATAATTGTCTATCTGTTCTTACTTTAACAGCTTGGACATAAAGCACCAAAACATTCATATTAAGGTTGCATGATTTAAATACAGGTATAGAACAGTAAAGAAACATTTTATTCTGTTACTTGGAAGCATTTTTAAATGGTCATGACTTATTTACCTGTTCATATTTTATAGTGGGTTGACTCTTGTGATTAGACACATGTTCAGCGTAAACATTATGTATTTATAAAACTTGGCAATGCTTCTTAAATTCCATTTGTTTACACTCCTGTACTCTAGCATCAGCTACAGTTTCAGCAATTTTTTTCAAGCAAGACTGTGTTCAACATAATATTTGCTAATATATCATTACAGAATCAGTTCCATCTAAGTTCACAAAATATAGCAACTAGAATTGAGGATTAAGCTGAAATGGTCAGGAATCATACATACAGTTGCTAACTTTGGCAGGTAGTGTTTTTGTTTAAGTAAATAAATACATGCATCGCCTAAGTCCAGATAATTTAATTGGTCTGGAATACTAACTTTCCCAACTCGCCCAAGGTTTCAGTAATATGGATCTCAACAGTTTTTGTGTCTACATTCATGAGCCAGCCTGCTACTGAAACATTATGTTAAAAGTAACAAGTAGTTTAGTCAGATCAAGTAACTCATTAAGATCCATACTGTTAAGCCACAGTTGATGTAGCAATCCATTATTGTGTTAGTCTTCGGAACAACTTAAGCTTGCTTCATTAACTGAGAGTAATGAGTATAGTTTGTATAAATTAAAATTTATTGCTTTTCCCCCTTTTCCCTCTCCTTGTTTTTTTGGCCATATATCTCCGTTGCCCATGTACTGGATCGACTTGCCCCTGCGTTGCCCACCATGACGTTGGCCCATCCGCCCCTGAACGCTCATGTGAAAACTCTGGTTGGCTATGCCCAAAAATGTGCTCGTTGCCAAACGGGTACCATACTTGACAACTTCCGATTGAATACCCATGCCCAATGCCAACATCCACGAACGCCAATGACCAATGCAGTACAATGCCAGTGTTTCAGTCCCAGACAGCAGTGGCCCCGAGCGGTATGTCCCAACAGTTTATGCCTCACTGCCTGATTAGAGAGAGAGAAATGTATTTTATTACCTGCCTTTTATATAATTAAATAGTATCCCCTTATAGACCGTGTATTGTTTTTTTTTTTTTTTTAAAGTTTTCTGTCTTATTTTCCCCATTAAGTCTTTTTGTCACTGAACTTTTACGCGAGTTGGCCACCCAAACAGTCCACTAATTTTATTTCAATGGAAGGAGCACAGCTTCAAGTGTTGCATATTCACTGCATTATAAATCAAATTGTTTCAAGAGTCTTGCTTTGTCTTTGTGGCCCACCTTGCTCCCCCCAACATTGTCTGTTCATAATTATTTCTGATGAAATACTAACTCTAGTTCACTTTCCTTCACTTCTCATTTGTGTTATGTTTTTCGGGGTGTGGGGTTTTTTTGTTTTGGTTTGCGTTTTTTTCCCTTGTATTTATATTCCTTTTTTGCAGAGCCCATTAATAATCTAATTTCTAACTGGTCTCTCAACCTTACTCCAGATATAACGTTGACCATTTGCATATCCCCACTTTTTCTACAAGAAGGTGTGCCAGTTTTATCAATGTAATGGCGAGGGTATACCGAATTAGTGGTGGTGGGGAATATTCACTTCTACTTTCATTTCTGCGTCGATTTCTTGCCCACTTAATCTGAGCTCTCCCACAAGCTCTCACTTTCTCACTTGCTCTCACTGTCTTTGCAAGACCTACCTAGTCTTAAATTCATCATGCATATACATTGGGTATAAACAAAGATGCATGTGTTATAAATCCAATTAACAGGTTTACTTTGAATGGGGAATATTAATTTGAAGTTCTTCTGTGTAGTCAGTCTTGTTGGAATTTTGTGTATGATTATGAATACTAAACTTTTCCACTTTCTCCATATTTTCTGACACTGGCCTCTAACAGCATCTTGAGTATAAGTGCAGATACAGAGACAATTGGAGAAATCTTGAAGAAGATTATCCCTACTTTAGAAGAGGTATGTCTCTTATGTTTGTTTCTCCAGATGTATAAATTTAGATTTTCAAACAAGATAAATCTAGGTGATTGTGTGCTATTTTTAATATGTTAAATTAGAAAATAAAACCCGGTCTTTTTTGAAAGGAGGCCTATGGCTCTCAAACTATGTGTTGTCATTTTTTTTTTTTTTTTGTAGAGGACAGAGACAATCTGTTCTTAGAAAATTAATATTTGGAACAGCCTCCTTCCCTTCAAAACACCCATCTCCTGACTTGTTTAGTCCCCAATTTGAAGTAGCTATATTGTAATTGCCATCCTGTCTTGGCTTTGTAAGCAAGTGTGTTGCACTGTTTGATATCTTAAAATTTTATGCAATAATAATAAAAGAAGGAAAACTAATTTGACATCATCTCATGTTGAGGCAAAGTACTTAAACAGGTGTCATTCTATCATAGCGAATACAGCATTACAGTTCAGCAGCAAATTAAGTCATACCATGGTGTTTGGAGAAAAACCTTAACAAAAAAACCCAAAATTAGTATTTTGATTCCCCCTCTCCTTTTTTTCCTGACTAATATTTTATTCTTTCCTTGTATGCATCTTACAGTATCAACACTACAAAGGTAGCGACTTTGACTGTGAATTAAGACTTCTAATTCACCAAAGTCTAGCAGGAGGAATTATTGGTGTCAAGGGTGCTAAAATCAAAGAACTCAGAGAGGTACTGTTTCCTATTCTTTTCATATTCTGCTTTTATTCTATAAACAAATTATGTTTTTGTGTTCATAAACAGTGAGTGTAAGCATCTGTGCAATAATTCCTTCAGAACATATTTCATATGTGATTTCTGTGTTCTGAGATCAATCTGAGTTACTTATTACAATTTTCTTGCAAAAAGTCAGAAATAAAGTGGCTGTTGGTGATAGAGCCTAGAACTTCTTATAAAGCTTTTAAGCATATTAGCTTATTTTTTAAAATGAAAATGCCATTCATCACTCCTGGAATAAACTGCTGAATAGGATATATTGGTGGTGTTGGACATGGAAAATGTTTTAGTGTGGATGCATCTCCATAAACTCTAATGATGATAATTTAATAGATGTTTGAATATTGCTATAAAAAGGTAGTAAGGGGTGGGTTTTGGGGTAGGTTGTTCTTGAGTGGGTTGGGTCTTTTTGTTGTGGGTTTTGTTTTGTTGGGGGGGGGTGTTTGGTTTTGGGTGTGTTGGGAGTTTTGGGGGGTTTTTTTTAAGTTCCATTTCCTTGAAGACCACTGTTTCCTTTGTGAAGGACCATTCCTTGTGAAGAAACGAGGTTTTGTTCTAAAAAGTTAGTGGTCTCTCTGAATCTAGAGTGTTGGTTTCTATCCTTTCCTGGCATTGTGTCAAAGGCAATTCCAGGTCAGTTTAGGCGTAAGCTACTATTTGTGTGGACTGAGGAAGGCAAGATGACTAGTACGAAGCACGTTTTTATGACATATGAAGGTTTATATAACCTGTAAGCTTATAATGGATATGTGGTCCTTTTGCTAATATTTGATTAAATGACCATGTAGACGAGCCATAATTGAAAGATTTTTAAAAATGAACTTTTTCCCTCTTCACTAGCATTTCATACAAACTGATGTCATTGCAGGCCTTAAAAATATAAAATCCTAAGATTAAATTTGTTGTAAGAACTCAGAAGTAAGCATTCACTTAAAATGACTGGAAGTTTAATGGTCTGGTTTGATTGTTTCTTTAAAAATGTTTTAGTGTGTGTCTTACCCATTTTGTTTTCAATAAGTTTATAAAATTGTTTAAAATACTTCTATTTGAAGATTTTGAGGGTTTTTTTCTTCTCAACAGAACACTCAGACCACCATTAAGCTCTTCCAAGAGTGTTGTCCTCATTCCACTGATAGAGTGGTTCTTATTGGTGGAAAACCTGATAGAGTTGTGGAATGTATCAAGATTATCTTGGATCTTATCTCTGAGGTAATGTGTCTTAAACTTATTATTCCTTAATTGGTATTCATGAAAGTTGGGATTATTTGGATGGAAAATTATCTTTCCATTTCAATTTTGAGTTCAGTGCCTCTTACTTCTCGAGTAACAAAATAAGTGTTGGACTGTTAGCACCCTTTGAAATTATTCCTGTTTTCTAGAATTGGGATGTACCTAATTGGAGAGGGAAGCCATTTTTGGTACCAGTGGACTGTTAGTCATGCTTTACATATCAGTAAAATAAGAAATTTTAAATTGGGGAGGAAGTGAGACAAATGTGTGTGCCACCCATCGGTAACAGCAGTTTCTCTATCATAGTTAAGTTCTCAGGAAGCATATCACCATCCCTGCCTTTCTTATCAGCTTTGTGAAATCAAGAATGTATTCAGAATGTATAAATTCTTATTTCTACATTTAATATAATAATTTAATGAAATATAATTGTAACAGTCAGTGCTAACTGAGGGGGGTGTTGTTGGTTTTGTTTTTTTTGTGTGTGTCTTAGTCTCCAATTAAAGGACGGGCCCAGCCTTATGATCCCAATTTCTATGATGAAACATATGACTATGGTGGCTTCACAATGATGTTTGATGATAGAAGGGGACGTCCAGTAGGCTTTCCAATGCGTGGAAGAGGAGGCTTTGGTCGGATTCCTCCCTGTTGTGGTGGACGACCCATGCCTCCATCAAGAAGAGATTATGATGATATGAGCCCTCGCAGAGGACCTCCACCACCTCCACCAGGTCGTGGTGGTAGAGGTGGCAGCAGAGCTCGTAATCTTCCTCTTCCTCCTCCACCACCACCTCGTAGCGGGTAAGTTGTTGCATAAATGCATCGTACAAAACTCAAGTTGAGTAAAATTTGCTGAATTGTGCTCATGTTTCCAGGACTTGTTTCACTCTCCATGTTGGTAGTGATTATGCAAGATTGAGTGTGCATTGCACCAGAGAATTTCAAAAAGTATTTTAATTTAATTATTTCTGCAGTGTAGCAGTCTATCAGGACTATGGTCAGTAGTTCTGTAATTTTATTTTATGTCATTCAGAACTTGGCTAAAGCATTCAGAAATTCATAGTTGTGTGCAAATCATGAAAACTTGAATTAGAATATATGAACTAGTTTATAACATGAGTTACGTGCTGCTTCTTTTTCTCATTTTAGAGATCTTATGTCTTATGACCGAAGGGGTAGACCTGGAGACCGTTATGATGGAATGGTAGGAGTTAAAATTCATATTGTTTTGTTTAATAAATAGTTATCACTTTGAATATCTGAGGAAACTGTTCTTGAATACATACATTTAAGTGTGGGGCATGTCTGCTTCTGATAAACTGATATCACCAAACTGTTTTGGCCATACAAACAGTCCCCCCCAAGAAGACGACTGTTTGGGGTGTAAAGGGTATTTGGGATGTGATCTGCTGCGTGGTTTTGGTTTGTGGGGTTTTTAGCTGGTTGGTTGTTTTCCCTACCTGTCATCAACAATGGAATAGAAAGTTGGTAGAGCACAGTCCCTGCAGGTTTTATTACACGGACCTTCTTTTAAACTTTTCCTTTTTAATCAGGATGACAGAAATAAGAATTAGGAGGCTTTTCAGATCAAGAAAGCATGTCAGAACAATGTTTTCCAACAGATGTTAGCAGAATTTAAGAGAACATGAATAATATCTATAAAGAGCTCTAGTTGGTCTGGCAGATGATTGCTTTTTCAAATCAGTTCTTGTCTTTATGCTGATTTCTATGTCTGCAAAAAAAATCTACTGTAATTCCAAATGTTTTGGAGCTAGGGCCAGTGATAAGTTGAATTTTAAATGAAATTAGGTACATTCAACCATGTTGGGAGGTGGGGAGAATTAAAAGAGGCTTAAAGATACTCTTCCATGTTGTACTCTGAAATGTGACTTCCTGGTAGTCATTTACTGTTGTATCTTCTTTCCTGGGAAGAGAAATTATAGGCATCTGGGAGGTAAATCTCTGTGGTTAACAACCTTTTTTTCTTCCTGTGGCACATTACTTAAGATGACAGGTTAGATGAGATTTTTTTTTATTTTTCTTTTAAATGAATGGAAGAGAAAGAAGTGTAGAGGAGCTATGAAATGGGCTACCTAAATGAGATTTACACATTGCCTCCTTCTGGGAGGAAGAGGCAATTACTTCCAGTAATACATACTGGAAGTACATATTACGAGGATGTCAAAATTTGGGCACCAGAAGCCTAGCAGAAATATTGAAAGGCACTTAAAATTACCAAAAACTAACAAAAAAACACCAAACACCACCCCCAAACCCAACCCCAAAACCGCCAAGTTGTCTATGCTACTCTGGATCTTAAGAAACCAGAAGAATCATGAACTATACCTCTAAGATCCCTTATTCGTATTCTTGTGTTTTCAAAGCTCAGTTTTTGTGTTTTCATATTTGCAGCTGTTAGAACCAGTGTCAAGGCATATAAACAGCAGCCTGCCCTTCCTTGGGTATCTGGTTGAGCGCAATCTTCAGCTTGGGCAATAGCGTGTTATAGTTCTGTTCCATTCCATCTGAACTGTCTGACTTTGATCAGGTTGACCTTGGCTTTCTTGACGTGAGTTCCTACAAATAAGTGGGAGTCATCTGCTCATTTTCCGTGTTCTGAAAAGCAATTTTATTTCCTCTTCACAGTGGAGCTGCTCATGGCTTTGGCTGCTTTATGCACGAGTTTCATAGCCTGCCTACAATGAGGAGTGCTTTCTGACACAGATTGTATTTAATTTCTAGTTTTAGCTAGCCATAATCCCAGTATCCTTAATTGTATAAGCAGATGAGAAGTCTTTCCATGGATTATGAGGCTGAAGCTGGAAGTGTCATGCCAGAAATATAAGGTCTTCTTGAGCTACTATGCATTTCATATAGAAACCTTTCTCTAGCAAAAAATTTAGAGTAAACCAACATTGTTGTGGTTTGTGAAGTAATGCATGGGAAAGGCTACTTTCAGAGAGCACGAATGCCATTTACATAAATACATTAAAAGGCAAGAATAGATTCTCTTTTCAGACCAGCATCTTGGAGATGTTGAATTTAAAGAAATCCTCATTTTCTGCCAGTTCTCTTCTCTGCTAAAGGTGGAAAAATTCAGTAGTTAAAGACTTGTAAGATAGTGAACCAAGACTGGATGGTGAAACTTGAATTTTCTGAGATGCAACAATACTGACAGCCTTGTTAATTCTAAGATGGGAGGAAAAAATAACTTGGAGAGAGAGAGATATAATCTCTATTCTTGAGGCATTTTACTGAAAGACATACATGCATTGTTTCTCTTATTACAGAGGTATATATTTTAGGTTATAACTACTCCAAATCAGATGTGTATGGACCATAACAGCTATTTTGATAGCTGAGAAAACATGAATGCGTTTCCACTATTTCTTTTTTAACAACCCCATCCCCGTGGGTGCTTTAGATATACAAATGCACAAAAACATACCGGGGGGGGAATAAGGTGGAAAAGTGAATATAAAGCCATTTAACCCAATGGTCAATTCCTAATACTTTCAAAGTATTTTTAAATTTGAGTTGAGAACTAAATCAGAATGTCTGTTTAACAGTAGAGTGTATATTCAGACATCTAATCTGGTTTTGCTCATTCAAATGATTCCTACTTGATATTTTTTAACATCATATATATATATATGTGTATATACATGTCCGTATAAGAATTTCAATAAAGGTACGTACACTAAATATATTAGAAGTACTTCGTGTGTAAGAGATTTGACATTAAGGAGCACGTAGAAAAAAAATCAGTGAAGAACAGATGTTTGACACATCTTATTTATCTATGTAAATACTAAAATAAATTAACAAAACTTCACTCTTCTGAGCCAATCCCTTAAAAATAAGGGGAAGTTACAATATGGAATTTGCCATCAGTTAGGATTGCATGCGTATTCTTTCATTAGATGTAAGAAGTCAATAAATTCTTATTAATATTATGCACTTTGTCTTATCCTGTCAGTGTTTCAATTGGTTTTGATTTCATTTCCATTGGTTACCAGTAGTAGCTAGCACAAATGAGTCTGTAGAGAAGAAAATTCTGTTATGTATCTTAAGTTATCCTGCACCTAGTATTTTAGGAACTGTTTTTAAATGAGCACTTATATTTTAATGTTCTATTCATGTTGTGTTGCACGTTTTAACCCAGCAAAGGCCTTTGCCTTAATAGTAATTTAAAGTGGATTCTACAAATTATATTTTTATAATTGTTTGTTGATTTCCCCCCCAACTTCTGTTGTAGAATTCTGAAAGAAAGAAATGCTATATATCCCATTAAAAAAAAAAAAGTCATTTATTTCCAATATAATTAGGCAGTAGTAGATTGTTAGTTTAGCTATTGGCTGTATGAGGTATATGGAAATGAATTAATAAAATATGAGAAGCTGTGTCCTTCCTGCTTGACCTGCTGTTGTAGACTGTAGATATATCAATGACAGTTACTTGTTTTATTAAATGCCTTTTCTGTGTTTTGGGGCGTTTTTTATGCATGAGAGAAATAGAAGGTTTTAGTATCTGAGAGTAACATCTTTTAGTATATAGTACAGTTTCAATACTCAAAGGTGTTTTTAAAAAAAAACAAACAAACAAACTGTTTGAGCTTTGCTCTCCCCTTAGCTGTCTGAGGAAAATCTGTTTACACCACTGAAACAAGGAAGAAAGAAGTGTGACCAGTTACCGTTCCCTTGCAGTGAAAGTAAAAGGGAGTAAACATTGGAACTGGTCTATATCATGTACTTTTGAGTCTTTGTAGTAGTTTAAGTAGTGCAGAAAAATGTTTCTCTATATTGGTATATATGTGTTTGCTTGTCAAGTTACCTATAAGCCTCCATGACATGGACTTAATTTGGATTCATTTCCTCTTTTCCTCTTATATTGTACCTGGAAGATGATGCAGTGTCATGTAGATGCCTGTGATGACATGCAGCCACCAGAGTTGGTAAGTGTGCTCATGCTTTTATTTGACTGGTTTAATAGTTGATTTTTGAGAAAAATCATTTGAATTTGTCAAGTGATAACTGGAATTTCTTGAGATTGAATGTAGTCAGTGGCAGCTTGCACCTACTGAAAAATCCCTAAAGTTGTCCTTCCAATTTGGGTTACTGTCAGTTTATGTCCTGAACAGTGAATCCTATACAGGCAGTTAATGTTCCACAATGGAAATATGCAGCAGCACAGCTGAGAGAGAGGCTTTTCTGGTGTATTGCCTCTCTTGTACTCTATTTTAGTGTTCCAAGTTGTAACTTTCACTGTAACTCTTGCTTTTCAGTACCCTGTAGGTGCATCTATTTAGGAATATGTTTTATGTTAACTTCATCGTGTTATGTTTTCTCCCGTTTCAAACAAGGAATGTTAAAAATAATTCTTTACTTATAGTTTTGGATAAACTGTTATGCATTACCTATCCATATATTTGAAAATATTCCATTTGATTTGTGTTTATCAAACTTCTTACTCTTAGGGGGTTTAGGGAGGAAAGTTCAAAGTGTGTCAGCAAGTGTTTAAGCTGTCTAGAAGATGGCAAAGTGCTGCCAGATATTAAATGTTAGTTCCTAGCTTACATAAACACTGCAGTTATAATTACTCATCTGCTGTCAAGTTCATTTGCTGTTTTGTAGTCTGGGGAGGAGAAGCAGCAGAAAGGGTCAAGAAAATGATTGTTCATTAAAACAAGTTAGCCTGAAAAAGGGATTCCCTGTGCAAAATATCAGCAGAAATAGGTGGAAGAGTATGTGTGGAATATGCAGCTCTGATCAGCCTCTGACTTAAGTTCTAAGCAGCGTCTTTCATTCTTTTGTATTTTGCACTCCACTGCAAGCTCTATTATGTTGTATTATGATCTGTATTGCTAAGCAACGTGATTATACAACACAGGTTGCTTAGAAACGGGTGATCAGCTGAACAACTTTTTTTCTGAATAGCTTCTGCTTTGATGTGGCTTCAAAAAGCAAGCAGGTAAATAGCTTTTTGGAAAAAGTTGTTGCATTAAAACTTCTGCAAACAAGTAATTCACACAAATTCCTGTATTTCAGCAATACAAGTTGAATTCTAGAGAAGCATGCACATCTATTCTCTGCTTCTACAGGAAGATATTAAAATGTGTGTTTGTGCATTTAGAAGGCATTAGATCAAATTAAGCAGCTGATATCAAGTACCAGTCTACAAATCTGGAAAATAAAAGCAGTCAGGAGTGCTGCGTTGCAGTGATTTGGATTTGGTATATGGTAGTTTTAGCAGAACAGCAGTAAGTGCTGTTCTGCTAAAACAGTAAAAGCTGTAAGTGAGTGCTTATGGGTAAGGATGAGGGGGAA